ATAGGCTTCATTAATTTGATAAGCCGACACCAAAAGCCAGGGGTGGCGGTGGGAGGGGGCTGGGCGATTGCAGGGTGCTGCCTAGGGGCTGCCCCCAGGTTTCAGAAGATGAACCGCTAATGATGTTGAAGATGTACCTTTTCAGACTGCGTGGTCCCTCTGGAAAAATCAGGGTCCTTTTTCACTTGTTCCGATTGTACTGCAAGAACCGAAAAAGAGAGGCCTGGTCGGGGATGGAGGGGGATACCCGGGCGGGGGTGGTAAGTAGGCAGATGCGTCTCCAAGGAGGAATAGAAGCCGGCAGTTCCACAGCTTGAACGGGGCCTTTTCTTTAACAGGGTATCTGATATTGTCATGCTAAAGAGTCGGAAACTAATGGGGGGAAATAGATTAATTTGCTAGGTCAATTATTGAACATTCTTGCCTGATACTTACAAACTAGTGAAATTAGTGCAAATTGACAATATGAATATTTTGATCAACATCTGTGACCCTTGAATTCAAACCGGGTAAGGATGCAAACCACAGGGCTGTGATATCTCAGACACGAAGGATCTTTGCTAGCTCTCTCCCATCTCCTAGAGTGATGGAAGCAGATTAGACCCAAGGCAACCATCTGTATAATTTGCCCAAGACAGTCTGTCCCAGTTTATGCCACTTGTCCTGGTTTGGGTGGAAAATTATGTATTTGCCCTCATTATACCTCTCAGCAACTAGGAGATGCTGAGAGATCCCCAGTTTCAGTGTGATTTTATTTTTATTCTCTGTTCTCTTGCATACCTTCAAGACTATTCTCAAACATACACAAATGTGCAAGGCATTCTGAGGATAGAAAGGCATCTGAGGTAGGATTTTCCCTGATCATACTTAGTGGAAATATAAGGATTTTTAAAACAGTGTCAATTTTTTTTTTTTTTTTGACTATGCCTGAATCACAGAACAAGATCATATACTGGTCTGTTTGGCTTCTGAAATAAATACCAAGGTGGGGTGGGGGGCCAATGGCCATCATTAGTTTAAGTAAAAACAACCCAGTCTACTGACCTCTGGAATTTCTGCTTCACTAAGTATTTCACTTCCTCCTCAATTTTACCAAGTGACAGTGATTGCTTGGCGGTGTCAGAACCAGCCCTGCTGTGGACAGGGGGAGCGTGTTGAGTCTGAGGAGTGGGGAGTGAGGGCAAATGCTTCCAAAAGAGGAGCAGGTTTGGACCTGTGGACTCATCAGTTACTCAACAGGAATATGAATTAGAATGGCTAATCAATGTTCATTCACTAAACAAACATTGCGTACCTGTTGTGTGCCAGCCACTGAGGCAGGTGCTTAACATGTATCAATGGATAAACAAGGTAGACCCCTGGCTGGCCTTGTACAGCTTGCATTCTAGACATTAAACATAATAACTCAGCATAAATTGTATAGCATGCAAGATGCTGTAAGTGCTATGGGAAAAGGGGTGCAGGAAGGTGAAGAGGGCGGCCATTATGTAGGCCACCTGGGAATTCTGCCTTCCACCCAGAACAGAGCAAACCCCCAGGGTGTGGACACACAGAGGCCGCAGACCCACGAGGCCGTGGCTGCCACAGCCAGTGGTACTCAGTGTGTTTCCATTTGCCTTAACAACAAAAAGGGCTAAAATCCCTGTGTGAATTTTAGAAACTTCTGGTCCCAAATAGATGGTTTGTTTCTGGTTATTCTCTGATTCCAAGTACTCCCCAGATATTGAAGTTCCATAGGCAATTGTGAGCATGGAATTAATTTTCAAAACTAAGTACTTCCTGCATGCCTACAATTCACATGGTGCTGTGGTGAGGCCCTCTACCTCACTTAATCCCCACACATCTTTTGAACAGAGCCATTATTGTCCACATTGCATAAATCAGGGAAATGAGCCTGGCTCACAGTTATCTCCCTACCAAGCTACAAGCATCAGGCTTTGAACTCAGGGTTCCAATTCCCAGGCCAAGTTCCCTGGCTCTCCTACTCTCCGCCTCCTCTCTTCTCCTGGGCTGCGTGTGGTAGAATGACAAATCTTGCCACCAGACCCTTCTTAACTCAGATTAGCTTGTGGCCTGGTACATATGTTTCACAACCATTGCAATAAATAGTTCATCTAATTAAACTGAAACCTGGTGATCAGCTCCATACATGCAGACAAAATACTCCATTCTTGTAAGAAGGGAACAGCTTTGGTAATAGAATTTGCTGCTTCCAATCAATTGAACTATGAGGTTTCTCATAGAAACATCAAAGTTCCTATGGACCTCCCAACACCAGTTTCCATATAAGAAACGAGCATGGAACAGTTCAGCAGTATAGAAAGGTCCTCCAAGTACTCCTACCCCTTGACCTAGCGAGTCTGCTGGAAAAAAAAAAAAATATCCTAAGAACATGATCATAGATATGATTTTTTGAAAAGTATCTATAAGGATGTTCACTCTAGAATTATGTATAGTAGTGAAAAACTGGGAGGGAAAAAACTTGCATGACCAAAAGTAGAAGATTTGTTAAATAATTTATGATATATTCATCTGCTATTAAAGTATTTTAGTAGAGTATTTAATAACACGGGATCTGTGATATAATAAGTGACAAAAGGTAGAATATAAAATTACCTACGACCCCATTATTTTTATCCTCCTTTTTTATTTTCAAGAGCAAAGAAAACTACATTTATTTGGGGCTAATTAGGATTGCAATCTAGAAAACACAGATTCAAGTGACCTTGAAAAAGTACTCCTAATCCTAATATTTTTAAAAGAGCAAGAATATAAACAATTTGAGACTGGATTTTTGGTTTTGTGAGATGGAAAATAAGCACTTGCTCCCATAAATGAATTTGGAGTAAAAATTTTAAGAACTTAGAGGAAATTTTAGCAGTGGAGACTTTTTTCTCATCAAAGTTCCTAATGAAATCATGGGATAGCTGAATATCTGACTTCGAACTACTTTATATTTCTTTTATTTTCTTCTTTACCTTAAAACATATTTTACCAAGTTATAGGCTGATATACACTGATAGTTTTGTAGTTTCATATCCCTTCAAAAGAAAAGCAGGGGTATTTATATCATTTGTGCAACAGTTACTTCATTGCCAAAATGTGGAAGCAAGTGGATGGATTGACGAACAGAGTCCGACCCCATCAGGAAAATGGCACATGGGGATTGGCAGAGCCAACATGGAGACGCACCTCTGCCATCCTTCCTTATTGTGATCATGTGAATAAATGAGGTAACTTCTTTGTACTGGAGTAAGAAAAGGAGAGGCAGCAGCTAGAGTATTTGAGTGCTGAACTCAGCACCACTGACTGCCTGAGAAAGACCAGGTCATCAAAATATTATCTTAATACTACAGGAATGAGTATGTTCTCCAACACAGGCTGTACGTGAGAATTATATATGTCCTGGCAGGACTTTCCTAAAAAAAAAACTGGGTATTACTCTACCACTGAGCTACATCCATAGTCCTTCTTATTTTAATTTTGGGAAAGGGTCTCACTAAGTTGGTAAAGATCTTGCTAAAGTGCCACGGCTGGCCTTGAACTTGCCCTCCTCCTGCCTCAGCCTCCCAAGTCGCTGGAATCACAGGTGTTAACCATTGCATCCAGCCTGGAAGGAACTTTAGATTTAAAGTGTAAAATGTCAACGCTCAGGGTCAGATGAAAAAAAAAAAAAAAAAAAAAAAAGTCTTCAAACCTGAATAGGATTAGATTGGAGAGAAATCTGAGTCAAGCATTTTTAAGAAAGCTATCTAATTACACCTGAGTGTTTTTCTAATCTTGTTTTCATAATCATATCTCTGAGAATACTTGGGTGTTTAAAAAATAGCATTCTAAGTACCCGTGACCTCTTTCCTGGTGGCAGAATAGTCCAATTGGAAGAAAATAGACCACAAAAAGTAAAATCCCAGCTTAGGGGTAGCCTTGCCCACCTGGCCACTCAGATGACTGTACACATCACAACCCATCCTCCCTGAGCCAAACCTGAGGACAAACATGACCTATGGAGGAACTTCATACAGAGGATACAGCCAAAACCACACGACCAGCTAGTATTTTGAGCTTGTGCTACATTTTAGGTGCTGCACTAGGTTCCTTCTGCATAAGATCCATCATCACCACACAAGAAGTGAGCTACACAGCAGGTACTATATTTTTTTCCAAAAAGTTCCCCGCCTCCAAACAAATTTTCTCCACCTATCATAGGTAGTTAACAGTGTTTGGTGGTTCCCCTATTTTAGGGAACCTCTTTGAGAGGGGATGGGCTTTTTCTAAATAATAATCATGCACGAGAAGGGATGGTGATATGCACCTAGCCAGAGAACTTCATGGAAGAATTTCTCTGCTTAACAATTATTTGCAAGCACACACTAGGTGCCAGGTACTTGGTAAACACTGGGGATAGAAAACAGACGTCCCTAACCTCATGCCTATGAGTCTAACTGCAGAGACCAGCATTAATGAAATAATTATACAGATGTACAATTACAGCCCTTAACGAGAGCAGTATCATGAAGGAAATACACAGACGGCTATAAACTTGTGTAACCTCACCAAGGGAGAGACCTGCCCGGAAGGCTTCTCAGAGACTCAGAAAACCTGTAGAAGGTGCCAAGGGCGGCGATTCTCAGAGTGTAGTTCCAGGACCAGTAGCATCAACAAACAGCACCTGGGGACTTGTTAGAAGTCTAAATGATTGGGTTCCTCCTCAGATCTACTAACTCAGAAACTCTGGGCTGGTTCTTGCCATGGAAGTTGGTTGATTAGTTGGTTTTTGTACGTCTGAGAAATTTTATTCACTTGCACGTCTCTTTTCTTCTTCTTTTTTTTTTAAACATTTTTATTTTAACTGACACATAGTAATTGTACATATTTATGGGGTGCAGTGTGACATTTCAATACACATATATACATGTATAATGATCAGAACAGGGTAATAGGCCTATCACCTCAGACTTATACCTTTGTGCTGGCAACTTTCAAAATCTTTCGACTACCTATCTTGAAATTTTCAAATAAATATGGTGCGCCACAGTTATCCTACTGTGCTGTAGAATGTTAGAAGTCATTCCTCCTACATCGTCAACCTGTACCCATGATCCATCCTCTCTCCACCCGCCCTCCCCACACCTTCCCAGGTTGTCAGAGCACTGTTCTGCTGTCTACCTCTTTGAGATCAACTTTTTACCTTCCACGTATAAGTGAGAACATGAGGTTTCTGTCTTTCTGCGCCTGACTCATTTCACTTAACATAACGTCTTCTAGTTCTATCTGCGTTGAATTTTATTTGTCTTTATGGTCGAATAATAATCTGCTGTGCTTTGTGGGTTTCAATAAGCCCTCTAGGCGACTGTGATGGACCCTGAAGTCCAAGAGCCACTGTATCAGCAGATGAGGTGGGACAGGGCTGAGATGAGCCAAAAGAAATAGTGCAGTGAAGCCCCAAGGCTGGAAGGGACACAGCATGGGAGAGGGGGGATCTGCCAGGCCAAGGCAGAGGACCCAAAGAAAATGGTGTGTGGCCAGGCTGGAAGCTGCTGGAGGCAGAGGGCTTCAGGGCCTGTGGTGAGGATCCTGCCCACGGTCCTAAGAATGGGAGAAAGCTGCTGGAGAGTTATGATCAGGAGTGTGAGAGGGCCATATTTGCATTTTCAAAGCTTCCTCGAACCACAAAACTATGGAGGGCAGTGGACATGGAAAGACTTATTGGAAATGACTTCGGTTCTTCAGTTCAATAACTGATAGAACGGAATAACAGGATATGGAGACAGAAGGAAGTGAATGAAGTTCAACTAATCCCAGTATTAAGGAGGTGGGGCCCCAGGGAGAGGTGATACTTTGAAGTGGGGACTGAGGGAAAGGGATGTGGCAGGACAGAGCCCAGGTTTCCAACTTGTAAACCTAGATTGAGGGTGATAGTCCCAGACACTGAGAGACAGAGGGCGGAGATCATGCATTTTATTTTGGATCATACAGAATTTGAGATCCCCTGGAGCTATGCACTAGACCTTGGTAGAAATTGCATGAGTGAAAACCAAGGAAAAAATGATTCTCAAGAGAGAGATACAGTGACCATATGAGCCAAAGGATGGAGATGGAAATGAGTTTTTGACATGCATCTGCCTCTTTTATTATTCATTCATTCATTCATTCATTCTACCTATTATATCCTTCCAAGAACATGGAAGAACATTTGAAGGTTAGAAGAAGATTAATAGGAGGGATGAGGAGCAGGTATGGCAGATACTGAAATCCAAGCTAGGGGGAGGTTGGGTCACCAGGGAACATCGTGGCGGAGGGATGCCTCAGAAAGCTTAACCAGCAGGGACCTACACAGGCAAGAAACTCAAGGGGAAAGTTTGTTATAGGAATTCTAAGGAAGCTTGGGAATGCCTGGTTCCTTCTCACAGACCACCAGCAAGTTCACATGCATCCGTTCATCATATCCCATCCATGGGGCTCTATATGCTTAACCTCTAAGCCATACAGTTTGGGAATAAGAAAAGATAAGCTTTGAGTGTATGAAAACAAGGTCTTTTTATCCCTGCTTTCAGCTTTCCGAGGCAGAAGCTGGGTATTTTAATTGGAAGGGAAAGGCCTACACGTGGTGGGAACTGGGGAAGACGCATTCAATCAAACTGGGCCAACACCAGTGGCGTCCTGGTCCTGAGAGAAGGTGCCACACAACACTGGAGTCCTGGAGAGAGGGGCGGGCAGTGGGGCCCTTGCCTGAGAAACAGGACCCGGTGACCCCCATCTGTTCCTCCTCCTCTGCCTCCCTCCCCCACCGCTGCCATGGCGACACGTCTGGAATCGCAGTCAGCCTTATGCCCCAGAGAGAACAATGCTCCGTTTGAACCTGGTGAGTCGGCCTCTCAGCTCCTGGCCTGCGGCCCCATCCCCCACAACCCGGGTTCTTACAAAAGGCAGCTTTTTACCGGAGGGTCAGGGCGCTGTGCTCATCGATCTGAGCCCCTTGGTCACTCCCCGGCCCTTGGCTCTTGTTGGTTTTTGAACCACGCCGCAGCCTCGACGCTGCGGGTCTGTTTGGGCGTGAAGTCACTGATGTAGCCATGCGCGGCCCCTCTGCGCGGACCCCAGGAGCATCCAGCTCTTCCCTTTTTTTCTGTCGACTTGTCACGCGGTTGACTCACCAGCAGGCCCGGGCTGCCTCGGCTCCACTGAATTAGTAACAATGCAATCAACATCTCTATTTTTATCTCTGCTCCCCCCTCCCCAATGACTCACCATTTCTCCGTCTCAGAGCTCAGCCGCCTGCACAGAATTATATTGGGGCTGGGGGTGAATCTACGCACAGATGCGATGCAGCCAGAGTGTTTTCCTCTCCCCGTGCAGGAGGGTTCAAGCGTTAGAAGTATTGTTTACTATGCTCGTCGTCATCCTGATTGTTGCTGTGTTACTGTGCAAGCTGCTGTTATCTCCCGAGGTCGCAGATGAATGGCAGGCCAGGGAGGGAGCCAGGATCGGATTGCCAAGACTCATCTTCAGAGAAAACTTGAGTTCGACGCTGAAACTTTTTAACTTCCTCCCAGTTGAATTCTAGACACCCGACCTGGAGTTCAGATAAAGCTAATACCAAACACAGTGTTACTTATTTAAAAAAAAAAAAAAGATGCCCCACTGATGCAAGATATCTTCTGCCTAGGTCTCCACGTGCTGTTAATTATATTGAATTTATAATTTATAGAGTCTGATATGTTAAGAGCCTTGGTTTTGAATTCCACTTGGCCACTTATTTCCTGTATTCTTGGAGTCATTAATTTCCTTGTGTCTTAATTTTTTTTCTTTTTTTAACTTCCCACACATATAGCATCATAGAATTGTTTTGAGCACTCAAAAAGCTAATATTCATAAAGAGCTTAAAACAGGGTCTCGCATATAATAAGCGGTCAGTAAGTGCAGACTGTTTTCATACAACAGACATATCTACCTGTTTAAAGAGAAATGATTCAATCCTCAAAAGTGTTTTCTTCAACAACACCATACAGTCAGGATCCCACCTTTCTTCACTTCCCAATTGACAAGCCATCCATTCTGTAAAGATGGCGTGGACACTAACCCACAGAACAGGCCTTTTTGTCTCTTATTCCAAAGTGGAGCCTTCTAGCTTCCCAGTCTGCCTTTCCCACAGCCAAACTTTTAGTCTCATTTCATCAAAATTAGGTTTTGGCTCTCCTGTACTCTAAATCCAAGCACACTTACCTCTCCTCCAGATAATTATATTTTACATTCAGAGACTTTTCCTTGGCTTATCTGACACTTCCTCATTAGACTCTAAACCCTAACAATACCTTTTCATTTCTATAGTACGCCATGGTAATAGCATGTAAAATTCTCTGTAGAAGTTTTCCTTTGTCTTCATCACTCAGATCTCCCATCACTTCAGTTCCTGCCCGCTTTACTCAATGAAGGGATGTCATTTGCTGGACGATTCTGGAGAGAGTCCAGAGTGGAAAGTCACAGGACTGAGATGTAAGTGGGATTCAGAAAACTCTCGGACACCCTGTGAGCCTAGAAACTGTTAGGGGTTTGCACCCACCTTTCAGCCAGCGGAGGCATACAGAAACGTTATCTGAACCACATGGTTCATTGCAATTTGGTCCTGTCTACCCAGAAGCCACATATCAAGACCAGACAACTGTGGGCACAGATTCACTGGGAGCAACACTGGCAGTGTGGAAGTTCTCCATGTGGGAAATGCTCACAGCATGGCTGCCAAAGCCTGAGGGATTAGTCACACCCACCTGCCTTCATCCTGAGTAGGTGTTCAAGGGAACTCATTGGCTCTTTTGTTCTTCGGTCAGTATCTTAAGCAACACAGTTAGGTATGAGTTCTGCAAAGTGTATATGATGAAAAGTATCAGCACTGCCCCAACCCTTCCCCATCACAGTTTCTTTTTTCTTTTATTAATTGATTTTATTTTTTTTAAAAAAACGACAGCAGAATGCATTACAATTCTTATTACACATATAGAGCACAATTTTTCATATCTTTGTATATGAAGTATGTTCCCCATCACAGTTTCTGTTCCCCAAATCTTTGAAGTGTTTCAGCCGCTTCTTCTGATATGAACCTCTGTCTTCCTAAATAGCGTGTTCCCCCAGTTGTCTCTTGATCATTGTGTTTTTGAAATTACCTATTGACTCCCGACCCATAAAAATAGGGATTTACCCATCATCCTTCCACCTCTCAAACCCACCTTTCTTTCATCTTACCAATTATTGTTACATCACAACTTTGGATGAGATTAGTATTTAATGTGTGTGTGTCTGTGTGTATTACGTCTAGATAAATACTGTTCACAGCTGAACCAAATGGTCGATTCCCATGGCATTGCTCTTGCATACGACCTCAGCTTTCCTGCAAGTATCGGTTGCATTTCTTGTTGGGTCTCCTCTGCTCCTATCCTGAAATCATTCACAGAATCCTCATCAGAAGTGAACATCGTTCTCAGTTCATTTGGAACATGAGGTAATCAAACCATTTCTTTTTCTTCATGAGGTCCCCCAGTCTGGTCCCTTCTGCGGTGCCAAGGCTGCTGCAGACCTGGCACTGGGGCAAGGCCGGATCTCTTGTTTGTGGATTCCAAGTGTTCCCCAGCTTGGTTCCGTTCCCATTTTAAGTGAAGTGTATATTCTACTCACTTCCTAAGAAGAGTACTTGCAAGGTAGATTTTTGCGGACTTTCATATATGAAAAGAGATTTCATTCTCTCTCACATCAGGCTGGATATAGAATTGCAGGCTGTAAATAGCTTTCAGCAGGAATACTGAAGCACTTCATGCCATCTCATCCGGCCTCCGGGGTTGCTGTCCAAAAGTGCAGAGCCACTCTAATTCCTTGGCAGATGTTCAGGATCTCTTTTGTATTCTTGATCTTATGAAATTTTACAGTGAGGTACTCTGGTGTGGCCCTGTTTGCATTTATCAGTCAGAAAATTTTCTAGACCTTTTCAATCGGGAGGGTCTTGTCCTTTGGTCCTGGGAAATTTTCTTGTACAATGTCATTGATAATTTAATGATTTCCTCAACTGTTTTCTCTTCTTACTTTGTGGAACTCCTACTATGTAGATATTGTACCTTTTGAACTGATTCCCTATCTGGTTATCATTTTCTTTTCTTTTTTCCATCTCTTTGAGTTTCATCCTACCTTTTGAAATATTTCTGAACCTTCCCTTCCCACTCTCTAGTTTGTTGTTGTTCCTACTATTATATTTTTAATTTAAAAAGCTTTGCTTCAGTGCTGGGGTTGTGGCTCAGTGGCAGAGCACTTGCCTTGCACATGTGAAGCACTGGATTCGATCCTCAGCACCACATTAAAATAAATAAATAAACAAAAAAAGGATATTGTGTACCTCTATAATTAAATTTTTTTTAAAAGTTTGTTTGTTTTAAATGTTTAACATCCTATTCTTAATTCATAGGTTGACTTTTTCTTTACTCTTTTTGAAAATATTTTATCGATTTTTTTTTCAAATATTCTTCTGTTGCCTTTATTTTCTCTCCTTTCTCTTTTCCATTTGTTTATTGAACTCTGCATT